TTTTTATTTGAAAGATAGAAAGAATTAAAATTATATGGATAGTCATTTATCCAACAAAAAAATAACTATCATAAAAGTTTAATTACCCTTTGTTGATAGAATTATATGAAAAGAAAAACAAATAATTTTTACTTGTATATCCAATTGGTATATTATATTTTTACTAGCATTAAAAAAAAAAATCTCTATAATAAGTTATTAAATGATATTATATCCAAATATAAAATTAAGTATATTAAAATATAATTATTAAAAGATAAATACTATTTTTTTAAAATAAGATATACAATCAATTATTGATTTATAACTTCCTTGCACATTCAATTTATAAATATATTTATATTTTCAATTATTTATTTATAAGAATTTTGTATGCATAATGTAAATTTTGTCTACAATTAATATGCTTCGTTATAGATATTATCTCATAGAAAGTGTAAGCATAAAATTTTCATGATATGTTGGGCAAGTGATTTATTTTAATATATAAATAGTTGTCATGCTTTATTTTTGAAAAGCTAAATCACATGAACTTTACTCAACATTTTAAGATATATTTTTAGCTCATATTATTATGAGATGACTTTATAGTACTTTTTATGTAGTGAATATCTAAATTGTATTTTTAATACTCAATTAATTAAATTAAATTTAGCTTTAAAAATTAATCAAATTGAAGAAAACCAACAAAGTTTAGTGTAATGCTAGTGGTACTTTTTACCACATCGGTGGAAGACACATGATCTTTAGCATTTATAATGCTATTAGTTAGAGCATCGGTAGAATAGAGTTATTACATATAGGTTGGGCACTGGGTAGTGGGCTAGGATTAAGTTAGTGCAATTAACTTGAGTGGACTAGTATTTAGTTAGTGCAATAAAGTAGGTGCCTATGTGTATGGGGGTGTCCTAAGCGTATGGGATTCAAGAACAAAATAATTAATTAGGAGATACTAATTATTAATTAATATTGCTTAGAATTTTTTTTTTGTTAATTTTTACAAAAAAAAATTCGGTATATTTTTTTGCAAGAAAATTCCCAAGTAATTTACCTGCGAAATATAAATTCCTAGGTAAATTACTTGGTGATTTTATAATTAGCAGGAAATAATTACCTAGGAAGGTTTTACCATCGGATTTTTTTTGGTAGGAAAATTTGCAGGAAACTTAGTTTCTTGCGATTTTTCATATGTAACCCCTAGGAAAATCCCCATGTAATCCACTCTGATAATTAATTTGGGATAATATTTTTTTTGCAAGAAAATTCTCAAGTAATTTACCTACGAAATATAATCCCCAGGTAAATTACTTGGGGATTTTATAATTAGCAGGAAATAATTACCTAGGAAGGTTTTACCATCATATTTTTTTTGGTAGGAAAATCTGCAGGAAACTTAGTTTCTTGTGGATTTTCATATGTAATCCCTAGGAAAATCCCCATGTAATCCACTCTGATAATTAATTTGGGGATAATGTATAACGATTGAAGAAAAAGGTATATACACATAACTCTTAGGGATTTAGATGGTTGAACTGGGATTTACATGGTATATGGATTGATTTTGGGTTATAATTTGGGTGTGGGCCAACTTATTTGGGTGGTTTTTAATTAGCTAGATGAGCCTTTTAATTATAGATAAAAATTAAATAAATATCAGGTAGGCTTTTAGGATTGAGACACATGTTCCCCTGTTAGAGTGAAGGACACAAATGCCCAACTTTTTGGACGGCAGGGATTCTAGCGTCAAAATAGTATAATGGAGGGTATTCGTATATTATTTTCGATAGTTCATGAGTATATTTGTATTTTTTCCATGAGTAATAACGTATTGAATCAACGTTGAGATTTGATTTAACTTTTAAAAATAACACAACGATAACATATTTTAGTATTTCATTTACAACGTTTCTCTTGCACATATACCCCTTTACATTCATACCCCACTAAATAATTACACTATATACCCCCAACTAATTTAGCTTAACTGATACTACATTATCATATAAAATATTTGGTATCATTAAGACGGATAATTTTGCTTAATTGATACTAAATTATATATATATATATATACACACTGTATTGGTACCACTAAGGAAAGACAATCTAACATGTTTACGCGGTAGAAGATGTTGACAATGAAGGAATGCTAGTTGTATTTCTATCTCACCATGAAGGGGAAGTAGAGGTTTGGAGGTACAAAATTAATAGAGAACTGTTGGAGCGGAAAAAAAAACAAGTTTAGATAATAATAAAACATTATTTGTGAGCTTAGGAGGATCTTGCTTGAAAACATGTGTTGCACAGGGGCTAGGAAACAAGATATATTTTTCAATGTTTCACAATAACAACAATGGTGTTTTCTATTGTTTGGCCAACCACAAATATTTCTGTTTCGATTACTTTGGCATCAAAGCTTATTCAAGTTCAAATATTTTCAACTTGGTTCGACCTAGATCCTGCATTTGGATCGAACCCAATAATGATTAATCATTTTTCTTTCGAAATTCATTATTTTGCCTTTTTTGTGTATATTTTTATCTTATGCAATTTTTGAGTATGACCTAAGGGTCTAAGATTTTGTAAAATTACACTGTTGAAATAATTTATTTTGAGATTAGTCTAATGACAAACCTGATTACTAGACCAATATAATATCATCGCGGATTTCCAACTTTGAATACAAAGTGGCTCGACCTTAGTATCTTCATTTTTTGAGTTCCATACCCGAATTATCATAGATATGAGTTTTTTACCTCAACTATCACAATTATACATTTATCAAAACACGTCATAACTATTAATCTACTATCATTTGGAAAGATGGTGATATTTCAAGCTAAGTAGGAAACTCACACACTTACACCTGATAGTTAAGGTGTGTTTTGACAAATAAGTTGGTGAAAGTTCATATACGAAGCTCAGTACAAACCTAATAGTTTTGATATTGATGAAACTCAAAAAATTGAGATACTTTAAACGGAGAAGGGCCTAAAATACTCCTCAACTATTTGAATTGGTATAAAATTATCCTCTATCCACCTTTCGACCTTCAAATACCCTGGTGTCTGGAGATTTTGTTTCAAATTTGAGATCATTTGGAGTGGTTTGATGTATATTGTACATTCAAAGAACACCTTGTCTAACAACATAGAAAGATCATGTCATTCCGATGGTATTTCAGAATAATTTAATAAGATAGGTAGAATGTATATAACACAATTATGACAATCTAGCAGGGTCTTGTGACCATTGAACAGGAACAAAATTATACCATTGGGTGAGATTTGTGAGCAATTTAACAAGATAGGTATTATCAATTATGGATATAGCACAAATTCATGTTATGAACAATTGAAGCCGCACAAAATCATATCAATTTGGCGAAATTGGTGAACAATTTAACAAAATAGGTAATTCAAACAAACATACATTTGCTCGAATTTCTAAATCCATATGGCCAAGGGTAAGGACATTTTGTGCCAAAAAGCAAACAAATGACATAATTGCTTTATTTTCAATAATTCTATGTTGCTAAACACATTCTTCTCTTAGCTGCAATCCTTACTTCACTTTGTCAAAATTGAATAAAAAACACTATTAGTTGCAATAAAACACCAAAGGAAAATAAGGAAAAATAAACTCAAAACAAGAAGAATTGATCTTTTCCATCATCGTAACAGTATATATGCCAAGATTTATCAGCTAAATCGACAAGTGAGGCTTGCTCGAGTGGTTGAGCACCTGCACCATTAACTGATAGATTGAAGGTTTGAGATAAATAGAAATACTATTGATCCTCTTGAGAGAGAGAGAGAAAAGGCTTAATAAATCATTTTTATGGGAAAATCAAGTGGTAATTGCATACATAAAATAAAGAAATAAAAAAAAAGTGGTAATTGCATAGATGGATATTATGTAACTTTCATTCTTGTGATAAAGATGAAAAATCCCCATGTTCTCAGCATTTTATATCACATAATTACAAGGAGTGGATGCAGAGGATACATGGGAGAGTTGACAAAATAGTCACTCTCGAAATTTTATTGAACATTTAGACAAAAGTCTTAAAAAATTAGTACTTTAGACACCATATATGACATCACTCAATATTCTTTCAAAACATATAACACCCTACTCTCAAGTTTTTGATACTACACTTTGGTCCCCACTCATCCAACACAAATGTGGAATTGTTTTTTATTTTTCCATTTATTGAAAAATTTGACTGAAGAAAAGCTCTCCAAGAAGAAACCAGAATGCTCCCGTTTTGCAACTGATTTAGCTGATTTCGGCGACTTTTCCGACGATATTTTAGCTTTCACAGGTGAAATCATCATCATTCTAGTCCTTGCTTCCATTTTACACCATTTTCTTTCAAATAGCTTCAAAGAAAAAAAATTCCCTCCATTTTTGAAGCTTGCAAAAACTTCCAAAATCACTTCATAACTCGTTTTTAGATAAACTTTAGTTGTTTAGAAAGACTATATATACATGTTCTCCATTTCGAGCTTGATCTGAACCCATTCTTGTTTATTCGCATTTTGTACGGATTTCGTACCAGTCATCGACCGCTAGTTACTGATATCGTAATCTAGTATCTATCAGTGTAGTCTATATATGGCAGTAGCTGAATTTGTTGTTGTTGGTGGTGACTATATCGGAGTATGGGAGGAGACTCCCAAAGGCTAGTATTGGAAATCTTTTAGTAAGACTATAGTTCCCATTGCGTTGCGTCGCAATGGTTCATATGCCGATATGATTGCAAGCGTAATTGAGGCCGGTGGGCTAGCCTGCGAGCCAGACAACTTGGTGATAAGCTATCAAATGAATGAGAGGGGAAAAATACATCCCACATTCATAAATAATGATAGGCATGTGAGCTTGTACATGATGGATATTGCTGCTAATGGCTCTAGGCCTATATTAAGAATAAATGTCATTGCGAGGTCTCCAATTGAACCAACATATTCTTTTAACGACATATGAGCTTGTACATGATGGATATTGCTGCTGATGGCTCTAGGCCTATATTAAGAATAAATGTCATTGCGAGGTCTCTAATTGAACCAACATATTCTTTTAACGACAACAACTTGGTTGAAAATGAGAACTTGGGTGATCAACCAAATGAGAGCTTTTGTGATCAATCAAGTGACAACTTGGGTGATGATTCAATGAATGTGCATGATTATTCATTCGATACTGAAGATAAGACAATAGATGCAGAAGATTTCGAACATTTTGAAGAAGATCAGGGAGAGCCGAAATTGAGATCACAACCCAACCATTCTTTCTCTGATGGAACTAATTTTTACATGTATCAAACATTCAGTACCAAGAGTGAGCTACAATTGTTATTAGCCGAAGTAGCGACGATAAAATCATTTGATTTTGCTACAGTGAAGAGTTGTAGTAAATACTTAAAGGTGAAATGTGCATCTCATATTTGTGCGTGGATGCTGCAGGCAAAGAAATATGAGTGTTCGGATAGATTTCGTACTTACAAGTATATTGATGATCACAGTTGCGGTGTTGAATATGCCATCAACAGCCATAGAAAACTCTTGACCAAAGTCATTGCGTCGCATTGTGTGAATCTTTATCGCGATGGCAAGGGTCCAAATGTTGAAGAGATTCAGAGGACTATTTTTAATATTTTTCATTGTAGTCCAAGCTATTGGAAATGTTGGAAGGGATATGTGACTGCCAAGGATATGGTTCGAGGGACATCGGAGCACAAATATTCATGCTTACCGGCCTTTTCATATATGTTCGACACTTTTAATATTGGTTCTAGCTATTGTATCATGGTAAGCGGGGATACTCATAGATTTATGTATTACTTCTTAGCTTTTGGTGCTTGCATTAGGGAATTTTCCCACATGAGAAAGGTAATTGCGGTCGACGACACTCATTTACATGGTAAATATGAGGGAGTATTGCTGAGTGTTGTTGCATAAGATATGAAGAATCATGTTTATCCAGTTGCCTTTTGTGTCGTGGACAAAGAGAACGATGCATCTTTGAAAAGTTGAAGGATACTGTGGTCGATGAATCAAATTTATGTTTTATTTACGATAGACACAAGAGCAGTGCCAACGATATTGCAAAGGTTTACAATCATGCTCATCACAGATATTTCATGAGGTACCTCGGTGAAAATCTTCGGGTAAATCACCAATGTAGAGATTCCCTTTATCTATACTACAACGCGGCAAAGGCATATTCTTTGGAGAAGTTCCACGATCATTTTTTGGAATTCAAGGACAAATCTCCCGAGGCAGCCTTTGTCCTTGAGCATGATGTTGGTTTTGAAAAGTGGAGCAGAGCATATTCCCCAGGAAACAGGTATGATGTGATGACCACAAATATTGCCGAGTCACTCAACGCTATGTTGATAGACGAGAGAGAGTACCCCGAGACATTCATATTTAATTCGATTGTTAAGAGATTTGGAGAATTATTTAGGGAGATGCATGCACATGTCCTTAAATCAAAGGGTAATAAAATGATGCCGACTGCCGAAAGGATCGCTAGAAAAAAAATGATCGAGGGCGACTCCTTGTATGTGGAGAACATAACTGGGGATGACAATCAATTCACCGTGTTCGGCGTAGGTTCTACTTCCAGTGTTAACCTACTGGAAAAGTTATGTTCTTGTAGGGAATATGACTTGGTCAAGATACCGTGCGCTCATGCAATAGCTGCTTTGAGATCGAAGCATGGCGATGAGTATGGTATGAACATCTATGAATATTCTCCGCCTTTATATAAACCGGAAACATACCTTCTTGCATACTCTGAATCTATTAATGTTGTCCCTATCGAGTCAGAATGGTGTATGCCAGAAGAATTACTAAGCGTGAATATTCTTCCACCCCTTGTAGATACCAAGCTTGGAAGGGAGAAAAGAGAACGTGTCAAGGGTGTCAGTGAGAATTTCAAAAGCAAGAGGAGGAACAAATGTTCAATTTGTAAGAGATCCGGACACAAGAAAACCACATGTATGAACAACAACAAATCTTAGATATATTTGACTAATTATGTTTTTGTAACTAAGCTACTGGATGTGAAGGTGCTGTTTATTTTGGACCCCAATATTTTGGTCAATGTAATGTCAATTGTTATCGAATTTGCTCATGATCTTATATAGATGACATACATTTTGTACACTGTCTATTAATGTGTATTATTGAGTCCACTCGTTGTGTATTAAGGTGTGTATAACTAATATATGGAAATTTATGGTAATTCAATGATTTTAATGTATGCATTAGAATGCAATTTTTCCCAAAATATTTATTTTTATATTTTTTCCCCCACTAAAACTGTGAATTTTTCTCATGCATGCTATTTTTAATGCCCAAAATAAAAAATGCATAATAAATAACCTATGTATAACTAATCAAACATATAACTATTACAAGTAAGACTTAGATATACACTTCACCAAATGACACGTTAAAGAATTGTCAAAAAATCAGACGTTGACATTGAAAAAGTAGCAATTTGTACTTTGTTATTATTGTAAAACTTGGATAATTGAGTATTGCCACTCTTGGTCAAAATATATAGATAATTAAGATAGTCGATACTTTTTGATGTGCTTGGTTTAGATTGTACCAACGACATCTACACTTCAACACTAATAAGGTATATACGGGTTGATATCATGATCCAAAAATGATCTATACTTCACCTACTAGAATATGACGCTTATAGATAGACTGTAGCTAGTATAATTTAAAAGAGGGAATGATTAATTAATAATAAACTATATTATTAAAATTTATTCAATTAAATAAGTTTAAACAAGTCATTTAAGGGTCCACATACATTGGGGGTGGAGATAAATGATGTATGAGAAAGAGTTGTAGTTATACAATCAACATCTTCAATGTAATGTGTGAGAAATCACAAGTATGTTGATAGAATGTTGATTGTTCAACCACAACTCTTCCAAAACATCATGTAAGTTTCCATACAAACTGAGGGTGGTGATCAATAATGTATGGGTGGTGATCAATAAAGCATTGTGATTGAACAATCAACATTCTCTCAACATACTTGTGCTTTCTCACACATTACATTGAATATGTTAATTGTATAACTACACTCTTTCTCATATATCATTTATCTCCACCCCCAATGTATGTGGACCCTTAAATGACTTGTTTAAACTTATTTAATTGAATAAATTTCAATAATATAATTTATTATTAATTAATCATTCTCCCTTTTAAATTATACTAGCTACGGTCTATATATAAGCGTCATATTCTAGTAAGTCAAATATAGATCATTTTTGAATCATGATATCAACCCGTATATACCTCATTAGTTTTGAAGTGTAGATGTCGTTGTTACAATATAAACCAAGCACATAAAAAAGTATCGTGTCACGCCCCGAGCCTACACCCCGAGCGTGGCTGGCACTCAAGAACCATTGTTGGCCCCAAGCGAACCCTTGACTTGACTTACTTACTCAACGAAAGACTATATGCATATTTGCAATGATCAATAGCACCGTTGTCACACCCCAACCCTAGGTGAGGCGGACAAGTACCATATGAACACATGCTTTACAAGTGACCTATGATGAAGTAAACTACTATGCAGATAGATTTACTAATGAGAAGTTTCATATACAATACATGTCGACTAGCTGAACCGATACATGTGACAAGTGAAACTATGAATACAGATGATAGCTTTACAATGTCTACAAAGCCTCTATTGGAATCCATGACTGTACAACTAGGAAAATACGCATAGTAAAGACTCGGCAAAGCCCCGAATCAACCTGGAGTTCACCAGCAACCGCTGAGTACCATGTGCTTCTATTGGGGAGATCTATTAATTGAGTACCTGTACCTGCAACATGAAATGCAATGTCCCCATAAGGGACGTCAGTACGAAAGAATGTACTGAATATGTAAGGCATAATACAACCATATGTAAAATGAAAGCTCAAGTGAAATCAAATACCAATAGATAAGGATTAGAGACCACCTTTGCTTATACTTGTGAAATCGTGTATGTTACATTCTTTTCTTTACTTTACTGTATGTTAAAATCTTGATAAGGCATATGATACAAATGACCAGCTGATCAGTGGTAGAAGACGATGACCCATGCTAGGCATTTTGACCCCTGGGATGCTGTCCTCATAATTCCACAAATTGGGATCGACCCATGCTAGGCTTTCGCCCTTGAGCTGCCACCCTTCTATACCAATTGGGATCGACCCATACTAGGCTTTCGCCCCTGAGCTGCCATCCTTCTATAACAATTGAGGTCGAACCATGCTAGGCATTTGCCCCTGGGCTGCCACCCACAATTATATAGATTGCTTCACTTAGATTCTTTAATCTTTGAGATTGTTGTTTTGATGTTCATAACTCTTTAGATATTGTTCTTTTGATGATCAAACTCTTTTGAGATTGTTGTTTTGGTGGTCATAATCGTTGTTAAGATTTGGAACAATGGACCAGTTTAGAAGACATACAAATATGGACTTGTGATAATGACAATGACGTGGGAAGCAAATCTGACACCAACGTAATACTTAGGAGCTTCTATGACTCAGTAAGCATTTTGACATCTCAAATTGAAGCACATATCAAGTGAAGACATTTAACATTCAGGGAAAAGATGTGAATTCTATATTATAGCCAAATACTCACTAACTAATATCAAATACAAGGTATACATGAATGTGGAACCAAAGGATAATGTGGACAGATTCAACTTAAGGACGGATACATATTCCAAGTAAGTACATATAAATGTACAATAGAGCAAGTAGGGATCTTGTGAGGTAATATTATAGTCTAACACAATGGGAGTAATAACCAATAAAGGAAACATATGAACATGTGAAAAGATGACATATATGATGGAATAGACAATTGAAGCAAATTGGCAAGATATGGCCAGATTGTATATCCAACATATAAACATATGTACCATGTGTAATCTAGGATCATTTTGATTTATATAAGGGGAATACGTTCCAAGGGTACTTTGATGATGAAATAAATTTTAAACCTTGCATGCTAATACTTGGTAGAGTAAGCACGTACATTTAGTGATAAACTCATATTAGGAGTACTCACTTTGATGCTCTAGGGAGTAGGAACTGCAACTATGGATCAGTCACTACCAAGGGCACTTAGAAAGCTTACTTTGTAATACAAGTGTTGGATTCATGCCAAAGAAATAGGAAATCGAATATCCTTACATATCTTGTTGCACAACACTGGATATTACAGTGAGTTATCCGTCTTCCTTTCAGATTATGTATCTTGCTAGACAGAAACCTCATTTGTTAAGACTTGGATTCTTCAATGTTTAGGTTGTCCTCTCCACCTTGATGTTAAATCAGATTATAACTTGAATTCCTTAAGATGGGAGATGTTTTACCAACTTGTACTTTAACAACACCTGTTTTCTTCAGATTTTAATGGTGAAGCTGTAGACCAGAACTCTTGAGCTTCTATGGCTTTCCTTGGGAGTAATTTACTGGAGAATAAGTGACGAAGGAGATGTGATGAGCTTGAGTACTTTACAGGTACCTTCTGGACGTTTTCACTTAGTAAATTTGAGAAATAATATGGTCATTTACTTTAAACAAGCGGGTGCATCACCTTCTCAAGTTCTGCCACAAGTTTTCAAGTAGGTGCATCACCTCCTTTCCCTTTTCACTTAAAATGCAGTCCACTTATTCTAAGTAGGTGCATCACCTACTTGCTCTTTTCACTTAAAATGCAGTCCACTTATTCTAAGTAGGTGCATCACCTACTTGCCCCTTTTAATTAAAATTCAGTCCACTAATTCTAAGTAGGTGCATCACTTGCTTGCCCCTTTTAACTTAAAATTCAGTCCACTAATTCTGAGTAGGTGCATCACCTACTTGTCACCTACTATCATAGTTTAGTCAAGCAAGCACCTCACTTATTTTTACACCATTTTCCAGATCTTAGTTTCTTTACAAGACCGTAGCACTAATACGCACTTGACCACTTTGACTTTTACATCGAATACCACATTTCCCGAGTTCGAATTGTTTTTGAGTTTACTTAGTCGTATATGTGTTGGAAGGCACGAGGTATTACAACTTTAAACCTATTCTATCGTCACTAGTCGCATAGGAAACTGAGTCCATAACTATACCCCATGCATTTTATAAGCGTCATATAAATAGAACTAGTACACGTAGAATATAGGGTGTTACAACTGTACTCACTTGAATAATAAAATACTGAGAATGCTTAAAATTCAAACATTCAATTTGGCCAAATGGCAACTCAAGTCTTAACATATGAAATGATAATGTAAAGACAACTGAACTAACTGTCAGACTGTCTATGAAGCATCTAAAACAAAGAGGGATGTTTGGACAAGACCCCCGATTATCCTAACAATGAAACAAATACTGCAAGCAAAGTAAATGAGTCCTTCGAAATGCAAGGAGGATCACCAACAAACTCTGAAATTCTCACTGGATCAACGATGCGCTAGATGTTGATCCTAGTTACATGTGTTTGCATCATAATAAGAAGCAGGCCAACTGGCATCATTACATTGAATGTACGAGTATGCGAGTTGGAATGCTAAACACAACTTAAGCTTGAAAAGAAATTGAAGAACTTACCTGGCTTAACTCAACTCAACATAACTGAACCTATTTCAATGTAAAGTAGTTTAAAAACAAGTGCAATATAAAGAAAAGTTGTTTAAAACATGATGTCAACTCTGTGTGTATGAAAAGATACACTAAAACTCTGAAATGTATGTAAAAATACAAATAACTGTGTATATAAGAATACATTTTAAACCCTTTGGGAATACATAGTCCCCATATACTTTTGAAGAAATGAACTTCAATCTTTACTCTTTACTCTTTACTCAACTTGAACTTTAAGTCTTAAAACAAAGTTAAAACATTTATAAAAGACTTTTGAAAACTTTGAAGAACTTCCCTTGACTTTGACCTTACCTGCTCTTGACTTGACTCTTAACTGC